CTATTTAACAGCAACTCCGCTCGATCAATTTTGCAAGTGTCATTTTATGGATACATCTATATTTGAACGTATTTTCAAGAATATTTCGGGCGTGTATTTTCTCGCATCTGACGTCATCAATCAAGAGTTCCGCGGCAAGGAATTAGGAGCACGAATGGTGAAAATGTGGAGATAAAATAGACGGTGCTGCTTGAGCAAACGGTATTTACGTATTGATACTAATTTTCCGTCGTGATTCATTTTCGGTTCGCGAAGAGCTAACAACAGAGCTGAGAAAAGATCAGAACCGGAAGTTCATCGTCTTGTGAATCCTATCAGATAGATCCCTTGTACTCCTTATTTTCTATGCTAACACAATTGAAATTCGTTGGCTTCGTTTTATCAGACGATCGCCGCCCGATTGCCGGGGGCGACAATAGGTTTAACGCGTAAAAACATCGTCGGTGTAATTTACAGTCCGCTCTGGGCGCGCTCGTTCACGATCGCGAATTTCGTGCGAGGCGGAACGCACCGAGAATAATGGACCGATGTAAGCCCGGGGTATTCGCACACTCTCGTCGCAGGAAAGCGCCTGACAGCGGCCGTTTATTCAGGAGTAGACGGAGATGGAGGCACGAACGTGGGCAGCCGGCCAAAGAAATATCTGGCTCTTTAAGATTCCTCCATTCGCCGGGGCCAATGACTTATTCGACACCGCCGCCGTCGCTGTCGTCGTCGTCGTGCACGCGTGTGTGTACTCACACATACTCGCATAGAAATTCCTCAAAATTTTCCTAGATGCTAATTCTGAACGTCTGATTCGTCTTAAAATTGGTTATTTCTCTAGGATATTGGGAATCCCATTCTTGTCCCAAGCGCGAGTTCTCTGTCTACTTCGCCCTTTTTTCCAATCAGTAACATCAAGATGCTATTTAGCATCAAGTAGAGAAAATCTCTTTTTTATACCAACTATTGTATTCAATAGAATAAAAAAACTATTTTTTTAAACAGTTTGAGTATTTTATTGAATAATAAAATTATTTATAGAGTCAACATAACATCACGTTTTCTTCCATTCTGATATAAAATGCAAACCAGGAAGAATTAGGATTGGGAAAATTTAGGATTTCTCGCTTAGAGGATTGCATGTATGGACACATTGCAAGTCGGATCAGAACCTATAATTAGAACGTATAATTCGATTCCAAGAAATTTCCTATACGAGCATGTGCACGATGGAAACGCGGAATCTCGATTGGATTTAATTAATCAAAAAGGGAAGGCGATACCACTCATACACATACCACTCTCCTGTGAGCGATTTCTCAAATTCGCGGAATCGAATCGACGATATTCTGAACTCCATAATACTTCGAATTTTCGCGATTGTATGCGTGCACTCGGCACTGTATTATTGCGGAATGCGTTTCTGCGAAATTTCCTGCTTTCTCTTTCTCTCTCTCTCTCTCTCTCTTTCTCTGATGAATGTTATATATGAATTTTTTCGCTGCATTTTACTACAAATCCTGCGCCACATATCGTTGCATATTGATTTCGCAATAACCGCCCGATGATTTATTTATACGCAGGTAATCAGCGTGTCCACATAATAATCTCCCGGATACGTTAATATGTTGTCGAGTAGTTGTAATTGGACGGTGCGTATTTCACGCAGCAGTTCAATTACGCCGAGCAATGTGATATATTGCTGGGTATGTTGCTGAAATAAAAATGACAAGCGAGAGTTATCGCGGATCGCGAAGTATCGCGAGAGACGGATTTGGCGGTGCCTGCCTCGCATGAAATTCGCAAGAGGCTTGACTCTATCGATAGTCGACGCGATGCGAGCGTATCGGAGCGGAGATACGTTCACGGAGAAAACACTAAGGGTATCTCTTGTTTAAATATGAGGTTGCCGCTACAAAATATTAATGTTATTTCTCGCCCATGCATACAAAATGTTGTCAAGACCGTAGTACTGTAAAGCGTGGTACACCAGCCTTCTTTGCTGTCTATCCATGCGTGTTTCAGTGATATTCTCAGTGATGTATGGCGTAACCAATCTCAATGGGTCTCTCAACCATAATATTTAATATTATAAATTAATATTCTGCAGATCACAGTAGAGAGAGGAAGAGAGACAGCAATATTCCTTCGGTTGAAGCAACTACACAGAGTGTGTAGCCAACATACAACACATTAATTACAATGTTTGCTTTTGCTATATACGTGTATTGACTACAAATACATACAAATCTCTCATGTTCGTGCAGATTAGGTCAAATTGAAAAAAAGGTTTCTCTACCATTTCGCAAAAAATCACGTAAAACTTTGAGTTATTAGTTAAAGAAGATTGATTGATGAGTGATCATGTGCGCGATACAGTAGATACGGCGGAACTCTGATGGCGACGTCTGCCCTCGTGTGCTTGTGAGTCAAACTGAATAAAAAAGTCCCATGCCATTTTGCGAATAAACGTAGATTTGTACTTATTAACTAAAGAAGATTAAATGACTGTGCGAGGTCGTTTGTCAATGTTCTTTAAGTAATAACTAAAAATCGACGTGTTCATTTGCAAAATAATAGAGGACTTTTTTGTTCAATTTAATCCAATGTACAAGGACGGCAGATGACGTCATCATGACTCATCTACGACGTATCACGCTCAACCATTCATCAATCTTCTTTAATTGATAACATAAAATTGCTCGTGATTTGCAATTTTGCAAAATGATGAAACTTTTTGTTCGGTTTGACCTAATTTACGCGTACAATCGTGAATTAAAAGATCCGTAATTTTTGGAGTGAGTTTGTGAACTCATCCACCTTCGTCCGACGGCAGTATTCTTTCATTAGAAAACGAATTCTCCTATTGGACAAGACGAAGAGTTCACAAACTCATCCTGAAAATTATGGACAACTTTTTTAGTTCACGACTGTAGCGAGATATTTGTATGTATCGTCAGACATCCTGTATACATGGTATCCCAGACCCTTCTCCGCAATTTTTGTAGGAACGCAAGATTGAGATGAACATAAAAGTCTGATACCGTTTTGCGATATTCGCAATAATTGTCGAGATATTAATTGAAGAAGATTGGTAAATGATCACACGCAATATCGTAGATGAGCTGCAGTGGCGATATATGTGCTGTTATATGCTTGTACATTAGATTAAATTAAAGAAAAAAGCCCTCTACTTTGCAAATAACCTCGTAAATTTTCAGTTATTAACGAAAGAAAATTGTTACATGATTGTGCGCGATAATGCACAGATCTTCTTTAATTACTATCTACGGGACACCCAGTATATGGGGATGTATTAACTGAACATTACGTATATCGTAAGAACTGTGGCTGTGGGAATTGTACAGACGGGCATGTGACAACAGAGCGGTTTTCTATCGTATCGACTTAACCTGAAATCACATAAATCTTCTCTCTAATCGTAGAATAGTGGATATAGCAAGCATAGCAGTTTTCTCCGCGTTGTAAAATATGGCGAAGCGAGAGGCACGCGACAACAAATGACCGCGCGCTCGCGTAACTTGTTGCCGTGCTGATTATATGAATGATTTGCTTGACATTCGTTCGCGCACGACGACACCGCGCGGGTCAGCGGGACTTCGCAAATCGCACGATAAAGCGTGTTAATTAGCGCAAGAAAAAATAAAAGCAGCAACTGATACGTCGGCCGCGCTCGCTCTCTCTCTCTGTGCGATTACGCGACGTCAGCGACAAATCGGCGTAAAGGTGGCTCCACCTTTACGTTGCATTTTTAGCCAATCGATAATAAGGCTCCGCAACAGTGCATTACTGCAGAATAAGGCAGCGCGGTAGCCGTTCGATTCGCCGAGGAAAATTTCCCTCGCCCGAACCGAATTTCCTTTTTCGCGTGAGGGGAAATTCGCGCGGATATTCGAGTCATCGAATTTCCCGCGAATGACCCGAATGATACTTCTCCAGTCTACGCGCCTATGATGAAATCTCGTTGCTTCCTCGTTCTTAAAATGGATATCGAACGTATGACACGTCTCTCTGCAGAAATAACGATCAGTCATTCTCGCAGAAAGGTCGCGCTGCTGCGTCAGAGAGTTAACCCATTTCCGACCGTACGCGATCCTTTCAGCTCTCCCACCTAGAAAGTGAATGCTTAAAAAAGAAGGAAAGAAAGAGACAGTGCGTAATTCCCGGCAATTCTAAGGGGATAACTGCGCTCGTCGCTCTGAGAAAAAGGCATGAACTTATCTCACTGCTCCACGCGCTGGAGGAATCAATGCGAGTGTCTCATTTCGCACGTAAATCCTCCAGCTCATTTGCCCGCGCGGAAAGGTGCATTAGCGGCTCGACACGATTTCCCCACGGGTTCATCCCATTTCGCGAGGAGCGCTGCTAGACGAACATCTCATTAGGCGGCGTGAACTTTCAGCCGCACGTTGCCCTAAATAATTAGGTCAGGCACACGTGCGCTAAGATATGCGACGTCGCGGTCGCGGAAAAGGATGTATAAACCGTGACGAGGAGCGGCAGGCGGACAGGGAGCGCGGGAGGTGAGAGAACATCCCGCGCGACCTGATTCCACCTCGAGGATGGCCTCGGCGAACTCGAGCAAGGACGCGCGTGACGACAGCCGCGATTACGCAGGACGACGTTCCGCGCATTTCCGCGGCCGAGAGGTTCACTTGGCGTCGCAACCGCGGCGATCCCGAGGACTAATATATACCCCCCAGGTGCTCGTCCCCAGTGGGGGCCGCGGAACCAACGGAATCCGATAATCGAATCCATCGAATCCTACGTGGATCGACGCGAGCGAAGGGTAAAGGCACGCACTCACTCGGACACCCACTCTTTCTCTCTCTCTCTCTCTCTCTCTCTCTCTCTCTCTCTCTCTCTATCTATCTCTCTCTCTCTCTCTGTCTCTCTCGAGGATGACACCGTGCGCATTTGAACTGAGGTGTCATGAACACGATGTACGGCGACAAGTAGGGCGAAACTCTCGTCTGACGATGAACTCGACTGACCTGATTCTCCGTGTTGAGCAGCTTGAGTTGCTCGTTGATGAGGCTGTACTTGGTGCTCTCCTCCTTGCGCAACGCCCGTTCCTTCTTCAGCTCCGGACTCCAGAAGGTTTTGATGCTGTGCATCGAGCTGCCGAGCTTCTGGTTCGTCAGCTCGAGCTCCTTCTTCAGGTTACCGAGCTCTCGCTGTAGATCGTTGTTCTGGTGCTGCAGCTCGCCGATGTAGCCGCCGCTATCGCGCAGCATGTGCGGGTTCGGGCTCTGTCGCGCGGACCTCGAGCTGTAGAGCTCCTCCTCGAGGTAGAGGCCGCGATCGCGGCTACGCTCGCGGGGCTCGCGGATCGGCACGAATTCCCGATCATGGTCGAGATTGCCGGCGGAGGCACGGTCGAGGCTGGTGTAACGCGCTACCATGCCCGCCGAGCTGGACATGGCGGGTCTCGAGGCGCTTCTGGATCGGTGATGTCCGCCCCCACCGCCCCCGGTCGACATACTCCTGCCCCTCTCCTCGAGCATCACGGGACTGCCGAGGTCCTCGTCGCGGGAGTAGTACGGGCTGCCCAGCTGATGGTGATGGTAGCTGCCGTAGCCGAGGTGCTCCGGCGAGTTGTTGCCGCTGCGGGTGCCTCGTTGCTTGCGACCTAACGGACTGCCACGACCGCTCGCGTAACTCCTCGACGGGCTGCGGTCGACGGTCGGCAGTTCGCCCACGCGACGACCGCTGCGTGGCGAGCGAGTGCCACCACCGGGACCGACCACGCCACTGCTTGAGTAAGGGTCCCGTGACATTCTACGAAGCTCTCCGCGATGCCGAACCTCGTCCTCCTGCTCGACGTGGAATCGGCCCGAGATCGGTGAACTCTGTCCGACGCTTCAGGCGTTCCTCTTATTATCGCGTTCCCTCCCCTTCTTTCTCTTTCTCTGTCTCTCTATCTTGTGCTCCCTTGCGATTATAGTAACGATTATAGGACGACGTTATCACTTATCTCGTCAGACTCGGCGGTGTCCGCGTGTTTCGGCAGTGCTCGTTTTCTGCTCGGCTTCCTTTGGGCTCCCTAAAGAACCGTCCCGATCGCCGCGCTAATCATCGCTCGATTGCTCTTCCTGTCCTGCCTCGTCGCGCTGTCGTTCCCCAGGCTCTCGTCACCCTCGCGCGTTTTCACGCTCATATCAGGCGGATTGAGCGGCGGGTGATCGTCAATGAGCGCTTTCCCGTCCGACCGCAGCGGGACGTCTATCTACTCGCTCTGAGGGCTCAATTGGAGTAACAGGAGGATGGAGGCGTGCTTCCTCGTCGCGCTCAGGTCTCCACGAGATCGCCTTCTCGCCGGCGATTCGATTCTCGCTCCCTTACCGATGTCCTCCAGCATCCGGCTATGGCCGACGACGACGGCAGCGACGAGGCCCTCGCGATTACGTGGGCCTCTCTGTTCCTCTGCGATCTTCCACGCTGATCGAACAGGGCAACGCCGAGGACACGCAAGGTCACTTCTACTCTACTTGCGAGGGCGCGCTCGTGAACGACGACCATTGACGAGGACGTGAATCTCAGCCTCGGCTTTCCTCAGCGAGAGAGTTTTTTTCTCTCCGGTCACGTATCGTCGATCTCAACAAAGGCCGGATCGGTGCCTTCTCTGCTGGTCGATCGACTTCATCGCACTATCGCGATGATGATCCTCCGTCCGATCGATCTTCTCTCTCTTTCTTTCTCTCTCTCTTTCTCTCCCTCCACCCACGCCAGCTTTTCCACCCCTCGCGCGAGTACAACTTCCGCGCTTCTGGCCGGCGTACTACTACTAGCGAATAGTACTACTACGCGCGTGGGTCACTTCGTACTCGGCGGCGGCGTACGGCGAGGTCACGACCCTCGTCGGCCCGAGGATCGATCTTTGACCTTCTTTCGGTGGCGTAGCCCATCGAGCGAGGGCGAATAGAGATCGAGGGGGAGAGAGAGAAAGAGAGGTAGTCGACTCCCTGTTCTTCCGTCTTCCGGTTGTCGACGAGCCGACGCGAACGTACGAACGGACGAACCCTCTCTCGCGTACCCTCTCTCGTTCCCTCTTCCGGTCTCTCTCGCTCTCTCCCTCGGCCTCCGTCGCGGCGCTCCGGATCCAAGAACCGCCCTTTCGTGCGAACGAGCCAAGTCGACGAACCGAGCCGACTACGTCGCCTTCCTCGCGAGCTCGTTCCACCCTCGTGTGCGACGGAGGGCGCTCGTACACCCGCGCCTGCGTGCGTATCTGCGTACGTACGTGCGTGCGTGCTTGTGTGTATATATGTGTGTCTGCTGTTGTATGCGTGCGAGCGTACGGATGTATGATAACGTGCACGCGCGTATGTAAAAGTCGTGTCCGTATTCGTCGCGTGCGCTCACGGCGCGCACACACCCGCACACTCGAGAGAATACGATATCTTTCCCCGTGTACTGTTGTCTATCTTTCTCGCCCTCTCTCCTTCTCTTTCTCTCTCTTTTTCTCTACACGTCGTAGACCGGCGTTCCCGTTTCGCGAAACCAGCGCCTAAGATCCCTCCTTATCGATCTCATTCTCTCTCGCTTCTCTCTTCTTCCGGTCCCGTCGTCGTCTCGCCGCCCGTGCCTCGTGGACGATAGCCGACGTCGCTCTCGCGCACAACCCGCATCAACCCCCGCCTGCAACGAGGACGACGACGTACGGCGGGACGGATGGCGATTCAACCACCGCCACGCCGACCTACCGACCCACCGACCGACCGTCCGACCGACCGACCGACCGACCGACCGACCGACCGACCGACGGACCGACCGATCAACCAACCAACCAACCAACCGATCCAACCGACCAACCGCACTACACTATCCACCGTCCACTACCGGAGCACAGCCACTTCCGTGCACTGACGCCGCCACCGCTGCCGTTACCGCCACCGGCGTTCGCTGCCACCCTCGCGCGCGCCTATCCACCCTCCCTGTATCTTTTCCCCGTCCGCTCTTTTCTACCCCTCTCTCTCTCTCTCTCCCTCTCTCTTATCGTTCGCGCAGTCGAATACAGGCCAGCCACCCCGCACGCATACACACACACGTATACACCCGCGTTTGCGCGAGCCCGCGATTGCCACCGCGCGCTCTCGCCGGCTCGTTCGTGCGTGTGAGGGGTGTCTGTGTGTGCACGCACGCGCGCGCCCTCCGCGGAGCCACCGGGCGAAAGTCGCGGAAGAGACGAGGAGGAGCTTCGGCACGACGCGCGACGAGTCCGCGCGCACTGACAGAATACTCTAATGCCGGCTGTGACTGAGCGAGAAAGACCACCCTTTCGTACCACCACCTCCACCGCCGCCGCCGCCGCCGCCGCCGCCGCCGCCGCCGCCACCTCCGCGACCATCATCATCAACCACCACCACCACCACCAACATTGCCGGCTCCGCCATCGTTGGCGCCACTTCCCTGGAAGCGTCACGTTCTCTACTCCGCGAGTATGCTCCACGTACGTTACCGTGCTCCTCGTATCCACCCACACATGCGCCCGCACACATTGAGGCCCGCCACCCTCGTTAAAGGACGAAGGGTAAAAGCGTCGCCAGCGCCACCGGCCGACGTCATCGCGACGGCCACCACGCCGAGGCGTGGATATCACCCGCTCGATTTTCCCCCCGATCTCGCGCGCACCGCTACTCATCTCTCCCCCTCCCCTTACTACCCCGGACCACCCCGGTGCAGCGGCCGGCCAGCGTGGTAGGTTCTTCCTCGGAGTGGCTCTCCAACGCGCAGATGCACCCGCGGGCGTCGTGTACGTACGAGACAGAGGACGGCGTCGCGCGCGCTGGACACCCATCGTGCACGGGGCGAACGTCAAACCACGGGGAACGAAATTTCCGGATTCGGGGGATGTATGAACGCGTTGAACCTGGACGGCGAAATTGGCTGACGTAGGAGTCGGCGGAGAGCCGGCGGCGGGGAACGGAGCAGCGGGCGTCGACTTTACGCGATGTCTCAAAGGGATCTTTTCAGTCGCTTCGAGTCAATTATCCCTTTTCACCAAACACCCTGGGTCCCCTCCTCCTCCCCAGACAGATGGATATTACGACGTGAGACAATTGATGATGGAAACTTGACAATTCTTTTAATTATATTTATGAAATAAATATACCGTGTATTGAATTAATTGCTAAATTTACATCGGGCAACAATGTAAATGTTTTGTTGATGCAGCGAGCAAATTTACTAAAAGCCACACTCAGTTACACGCGGCGAGCAAATTTACTAAAAGTTACATTTTCAGATTTCCATGTTACATTTAACATGACATATTGTGACATATTGTTTGGGACAGGTTTTTTCATCATTCTCTTCGTGCTTCCATTTCGTCATTCGGTGTGATAAATATGAGTGTAATCTGATTCGTCATAACGGACTCAACGTTGCTAAATTTCGTAATTTAATGTACTTAAAATTGCTGTTCACATGCATCTGTCCGGGTCTGCTTGAAAGTGATGAGCACTTCGACGTTTGTATAGCAGTGATAAAAAATTGAGCAATTCTTCCAGATAGAGACTTTCATAATTATCACGAAGAGAGATAATCAATGATGGAAACTTGACAATTCTTTTAATTACATATATTTATGAAGTAAATATACTTATTAAATTAATTATTAAATTGGCATCACATAATAATGTAAATTTTCTGTTGTATCAATGCAGTAACAAATTCACTAAAAGTTACACTCAAATTCTTATGTTACATTTAATATGACATATTTGGGGCTAATTTTGATCATTATTTTCGTATTTCTATTTTATGTGATAAATACAAGTGCAATCTAATCGATCATAAAGAATTCAACTTTGCTAAATTTCGTGCTTTAATACTTCAGGTTGCTGCAATGTTTACGTACATCAGTCTGTTGGAGCCTGCTTGAAGTTGATGGACGCTTCGACGTTTATATATATAATGATAAATAATTGAACAATTGTCAGATGGAGATTTTCACGATTATCACGGCATGAGATACACAATCTTGATAATTCTTTTAATTGCATTTATGTGAAGTAAGTATACTATATTGAATTAATTACTAAATGTACATCACACAATAATGCAAATTTTTTGTTGCATTGATGATTATTAAAAGTTACGTACACATTTTTATGTTACATTTAATAAGACATCGTTTAGGACAAATTTTGATCATTTTATTTTCGTATTTCTCTCGTATTTCTATCTCGTTATATGGTGTAATAAATACGAGTGCAATATAATCGGTCATGAGAGGCTCAAGGTAGCTGAATTTCGTGACTGCACGTACTTAAAATTGCTGTAATGTTTACATGTATCAGTTCATCGGGACCTGCTCGAAGTTGATAAACGTTTCGACGGTCGCGGCAGAGAGATAAAGAATTGGGCAATTCTGTTTTCCTTTCCACCAAAGTTTTCCCCGTATATCCCCGGTGTGTTTATCCAACGAGAAACTTCCAAGCGGCTTCCTGCGCCGAAAGTAATCCCGTACAGCCGTGGTCGCGCGATCGTTTATTGCCGCGGCGGGTCTTTAATGAAAATGGCTTTACGTAGAAAAGGTTAGCGGAGCGTGAGCGTGTCCCTCGGGCGCTCTGACCTCGCGCTCCAACCCTGAATGCACGTTCCACTTGGAGCCACTTCTCCCTTCGCCTCGCGACGACCGTCGACCCGGCGTACGAGCGTCGCAATCAATGAAGCTACGATTCACCGGGCAGTAGCGTATCATCGCGGAATTGGATTACGCCGGTCTCCGACGTAGTAAAATAGTACCGCGCGTAGAATAGCGGCGTGAGAGAGTGAAGCCGCATGGGAATAAAATTTACGATGCGCCGCTCGATCAATTAACGCGTCCTTCTAATTGCGCCGCGACGTGTTGACGTACGTCGTGCCGCGACTTGCGACGCGTCCCATCGTGTCGCGTCTGTGATTCAGATAACAGGATTTAAGAGGTTCGTGCTCCACCCCGACGACAGCTTTCTAATTCACCGTCAACACGGTCTACCGTTTGTCAGCCGGCTCGATAATTTCATTCGATCTCGTTCGCAAGACCGTAGAGCTCGTGGAGCGTGACTGGAAAAATCTTGGACGCCGTTTTATTGAATTGTGTCTCGTCAATAGTTAAGCGGATTCGTTCGGAAGAACAGCCGCGCGAGAGTAAACGGCGTGCCGCACACGCGATCCAAGTTCGTGATAATTGCTACAGCGCGACGCTATAATTACCACGTCTGTCGATGTGTGTGCCGGTACATCCCCGGCGTTCTTGATGAATGCAGTCTCATATCGTGTGTCCTGTCCTGATTGCATTCGTGATTATGTCATTATAGTGACTCGCTCATCAGCTTTGTAGCGAGCAAAATAAGTCGATTCGCACAAAATAGCGGAGGAAAGAATAAGAGAGGAACAAAATAACCGACACGATTGCGTGGGCGAAGTAAACGAAGAAAGATTTTTTGATTCATAGTTGATTCGAACTCATTTTCTTGTTAATATTTTTAAACTTTGACAGTATATTAATAGAGAGTATATTCATAAAAATAGAAATAGAATAGAAATAGAATAGAAAAATAGGAATAGAAATAAAAATTAAAATAGAAAATTTAGTATATATTAATAGTATACATGATCTTTGCGCTTGTATAATAAAAAAAAGATCGACCGTACCCAAGCGGAGATATTTGCAGTCAAAGTTTGCATTATTTGTACGCAAGAAAGCCGGGGTCAGATGGCACATTTTCGTGAATTTCAAAGTTACATCTTTTCAGACAATTAACTGTTGTAATTAACTGTGCAAATGTGATACAGACAACCTGCTTCTACGTTCTTATGGCCGCAATGATCTTGCAAACTGTATATTTTCTTCTTTAATAACCGAAATATAAACATACAACTGCAATATAGCTGTTTTTCCCTTACTAGGTCAAGTTGACTGCATATAAAATATGTATCCTGATTTATTTTAGTTCAAGAGTCTCCACCAAAGACCTTCATAGTTCTGTCGGTCCTTAAATAGTAGCTAACTTTGGCTCGGCTATTTATATTCTTAATTTCAATTATTTTATGAAGGAAAATTGCATTTATTATCCCAAACAGTTAAGTAATATTATACATTGAAGGAGAAACATCATTCTAACTAATATAACATGTTACTTAAGTTCTTATTCATTTATAATGAAGATATTATTAATATCTAATTTTTCTTTTTCTCTCTTTCTCAACTCTTAGAAATGTACTTGGTTGCTTGAATCAGTTTTTTCAATTTTTTTAACTGTAATATTATTTTCATTTTAATGGAACTCAGGGAAAAGTATTTGTGTGCTTTTTGGAAACATTTTGTGATATGGTTTTTAATGTCCCTTTCACAATAAATACGTAAACAAATCATACGGCTGACACACGGCTTTGGACTAACTAGATCCAGTCTTCTTTTGCAATTACGAAAATTGCCTCTGATAATTTCAGCGACCAAACCACTTTTATACTTTCAATAAAGAAACAAAAAGGTGATAAAAGAGACGTTTGGGAGCATTAAAAAATTACAAGATTATTAAGGGGATGCCGGAGCGAGCGACGAACTTGATAAACGTCGATAACGTAGAGTGATCATCAAAAAGTAGAAAACGTTATCATCATTTACCGACGATATCGAATTTATATCGAATTTATATACACATAGATATTTATGGAATAAAGATGATCGTCAAATAGGCGCTAACATGATACTGCTATCATCTTTTCACAGATGTTATGCAAGTATATATGCTATGTTGTCATTTCAATTTTCTTACACATAAACGTTACGTAAATGT